GTCATTAGGTTATATGAAATAAGACAGGTAAAGAAAGATAAATACCACATGTTCTCACTAATATGTGGGAGCTAAAAAAGTAGATCTCATAGAGATAGAGTTGATTAGTGCTTACTAGGGACTGGAATGGGTAGGGAGAAGGGGGACAAAGAGCAGTTGGTTAACAGGTACAGAAATACAGTTAATGCCAAAAATAAGATCTAGTGTTTTATGGTACAGTAGTAGAGAAACTATACTTAACAATTACATATTGTATAGTACAAAATAGCTGAAAGATTGGTATACAAGAAGATCTTAAGAAAAAAATAGAACAGAATAAAGAAAAATGTTTGATGTGATTGATATCCCCATTACCCTGATTTGATCATTACACATTGTATGCATGTATCAAAATATCACATGAACCCCCAAAATACATACAACTATTATGTACCAATTTTTCAAAAACTGTACTGCTAAAAATGCTAATGATCATCTGAGCCTTCAGCAAGTCATAGTCTTTTTGCTGGTGGAGGGTTTTGCCTTAATGCTGATGGCTGCTGACTGATCAGAGTGGTAGTTGCTGATGGTTGGAGTGGCAATTTCTTAAAATAAGACAATGAAGTTTGCTGCATTGATTGACTCTTCTGTTCCCAAAAGATTTCTCTGTAGAATGGATGCTGTCCTGGTAGCATTTTACCCACAGTAGCACTTCTTTCAAAATTGGAGTCAGTCCTCTCAAACCCTGACACTGCTTTATATAATATTCTAAATCTGTTGTCGTCATTTCAACAACGTTCACAGAATCTTCACCAGGAGTAGATTCCAGCTTAAGAAACCACTCTTTGTGCTCATCCATAAGAAGCAATTCCTCATCGCTTCAAGTTTTTATCAGGAGATTGCACCAATTCAGTCACAACTTCAGGCTCCACTTCTAATTCTATTTCTCTTTCTATTTTCACAACATCTGTAGTTATAGCCTCCACTGAAGTCTGAGCCTCTCAAAGTCATTCATGAGGGCAGGAATCAACTTCTTCCAAAATCCTGTTAATGTTGATATTTTGACCTCCTCCTATGAATCACCAATGTTCTTAATGGCATGTCGAATGGTGAATACTCTCCGGAATGTTTTCAATTTACTTTGCTCAGGTCCATCAGAGGAATCACTAGCTGTGGCAGCTATAGCCTTATGAATAGACTATACATGAATATTCTAACTAATAAGACTAGAAAGTTGAAATGGCTCCTTGGAATTCATGGACTGCAGAATAAATGTATCAGGTATGAAAAGAAACATTTATCTCCTTGCATATCTTCATCAAAGTTCTTGGGTGATGAGGTACACTGTCAATGAAAGGAAGTATTGAAAGAAATCTTCTTTTTCTGAATAGTAGGTCTTAACAGTGGGCTTAAAATATTTAGTAAACCACACTGTAAGCAGATGTGCTGCCATGTAGACTTTGCTGTTCGATTTATAGAGCATAAGCAGATTAGTAGATTTAGCATAATTAAAAAGGACCCTAGGATTTTCAGAACAGTAAATTAGCAATGGCTGCAACTTGGTCTTCAGCTCCGTTAGCCCCTAACAAGAGAGTCACCCCTGTCCCTTGAATCTCTGAAGCCAAACACTGACTTCTCCTCCCTAGCTATGAAAGTCCTAGCTGGGTTCTTCTTCCAATAGAAGCCTATTTTGTCTACGTTGAAAATCTATTGTTTAAGGTAGCCACACTTTTTTTTTCAGATCTAGACCTATAGAAATGTATCCACTTTTATTTATTATCTTAGCTAGATCTTCCTTATAACTTGTTGCAGCTTCCCTATTAGCACTTGCTGCTTCATCTTGCACTTTTATATTATGGAGATAGCTTCCTAAACCTCATGAACCAACTTCTACTAGATTCCAACTTTTCTTCTGTACCTTCCTCACCTCTCTGTCTTCACAGAATTGAAGAGAGTCAGGGCCTTGCTCTGAATTATGCTTTGGCTTAAGGGAATCTTGTGGCTGGTTTGATCTTTTAATCAGACCACTCTCTCCCTATCCATTAATAAAGCTGTTTCACTTTGTCATCTGGAGTAGCATTTTTAATTTTCCTCAAAAACTGTTTCTTCATATTTTGGCTGTTTGACACAAGAGGCCTAGCTTTTAGCCTATCTTGGGGCTTTCAACATGCCTTCCTGATATTAATGATGGCACTTCCAGTTTTGAAGAATTTTGACTCTTAGTTTCACTTGAACACTTAGGGGCCATTGTAGGGTTATTAGTTGGTCTAACTTCAACATTGTTGTCTCTCAGGGTATAGGAAAGCCCAAGAAGAGAGGGAAAGATAGAGAAATGGACAGTCAGTGGAGCAGCGAGAAAACACAGAACATTTATTGATTAAGTTCACTGTCTTATATTGGCATGATTCATGATGTGCCAAAACAATTACAACAGTTAACATCAAAGCTCAATAATCACAGATCACCATAAAATACTAAATAGTAGCTGGGCGTGGTTGCTCATGCCTGTAATCCCAGCACTTTGGAAGGCTGAGGTGGGAGGATTGCTTGAGTCCAGGAGTTCAAGACCAGCCCAGATAGCAGAGTGAGACTCCCATCTCTGCAAAAAATTAAAAAATTACCTGGGCCAACTGGCATGCAACTGTGGTCCCAGCTACTCAGGAGGCTGAAGTGGGAGGATCGCTTGAGTCTGGTAGTTGCAGCTGCAGTGAGCCATGATTGTGCCACTGCACTCCAGCCTGTGCAACAGACTGAGACTCTTTCTTTAAAAAAAAAAAGACATAATAATGAAGTTTGAAGTATTGGAAGAATTACCAAAGGGTGACACAGAGACATGAAGTGAGTACATCTGTTGGATAAAAAGCACTGATAAACTTGTTCAACACAGGGGTGCCACAAACCTTCAATTTGTGAAAAACACAGTATCTGTGAAGCACAACAAAACAGGATACACCTGTAAATCCTAGAGGATCACTAAAAAATAAAAACAAGACATAACTGATAAGCCAATAGTAGAGATAAAAAAGAATCATTATAAAAACTCAATCCAAAAAAAAAAAAAAAAAAAAAAGAGAGAGAGAGAGAGAGAAAAAAAAGAACAAAGAATAGATGAGACAGCTGTGCACGGTGGCTCATGCCTGTAATCCCAGCACTTTGGGAGGCCAAGGCAGGTAGATCACCTGAGGTCAGGAGTTTGAGACCAGCCTGGCCAACCTAGTGAAACCCCATCTCTACTAAATATACAAAAATTAGCTGGGTTTGGTGTTGGGTGCCTGTAATCCTAGCTACTTGGGAGGCTGAGGCAGGACAACTTGAACCTGGGAGGCAGAAGTTGCAGTGGGCCAAGACTGAGCCATTGCACTTCAGCCTGGACGATATAGTGAGACTTTGTCTCAAAAAAAAAGAATATATGAGACAAATAAATGATAGATTTAAATCCAACCACTTCGATAACTACACTAAATGTGGATGGTCTAAACATACTGATTAAACAACACATTATCAGACTGGGTTATAAAAAGCAAAGAAAGGCCCAAATATATGCTGCCTACATGAAACCCACTTTAAAACAAAGACATTTCTTAAAAGAGTAGAAAAAGATACATTGACAAACACTCAGCTAAAGAAAGTTGGAAAAATTACATAAATAACAGACAAGGCTGACTTCAAAACAAGACATTACCAAGGTTAAAAAGAAACATTACTGGTGAGAACACAAAATGATATGGCCAATTGGGAAAACAGTTTGGTAGTTTCTTACAAAACTAAACATATTCTTATCATACAATCCAGCAATCATGCACCTTAGTATTTATACAAAGGATTTTAAAATACGTCCGCACTAAAACCTTTGTATAGATGTTTACAGCAGCTTTGTTCATAAGTGCCAAAACTTGGAAGCAAACAAGATGCCCTTCATTAGGTAAATTAAATATTTTTCATTGTTGTTGATATCTAAATATACTGCTCCAATAAAAACAAATACTATGGGGAAAAAAAACCCACGAAAAATCACTTATAAATCCAAAATAACTATTCGTATACCACAGGTGTGTAGAAGAATATATATACTTTTTATCTTTTAGGGACAATATAACTAGTAAGAAGAATGTAAAGGAATCAAATGTATATCACTAAAAAGAGAGACTTAAGGTTTTGAGATTATGATAAACTCCCTAGCATTTCTTTTCATGAAACTAATCCTTCTTTTCTAGTAAACAGTCAAAAATGTATTTTCCCAGTTTTCAAATGGAAAAAACTATCAGATAATTATTCTGAAGATATCTAGTATTTAAGAAACACAGGCTGGGTGAGGTGGCTCATGCCTATAATCCCAGCACTTCAGGAGGCTGAGGTAGGAGGATTGCTTGAGGTCAGAAGTTTGAGACCATCCTAGGCAACAGAGCAAAATTCTCTCTCTATTTTTATTTAAAAGAAAGAAAGACTCACAGAGCAATAAGCAAAAATCATCTGTGCATCTCCTCTAACGGACAAAACATACCATATTGCTTTGCCTATCACTGGCACTCTAAAAGATTTTAATTCATTTTTTTGTTTCTTATAACAAAATGCTTCCTGCTAATAATCAGCTAATCTAAATTATTTCCCAAAAAGGGAGCGGGAAGCAAAATCATGTTTTGTTTCCATATCCTTTACATAGTTTGAGTAGTTTGTTTAGCAAATTAATGTCCTCAATAAATATCTACTAAGAATCTATTAAATGCCACTAAGACTCTGGGATCTGTTCAAAGATACTAACTTTCATAGACCTAAATAGTCTATAAATCTAAGAGTTCACATTTGTGAAAACATAATTTAAATAGGAAGAAAAACTGTTCTAATGGATTACTTCCTTAATATCCTTGTAAAATTTATCTCTTCTTTGGCTTCTTTGTACCATTTCCATTGTTCTATAATTTGCTAACATATTAATTTTTAAATCTTTTGAAATATCTAATTAGTAATGGTTTTCAAAAGCTTCAGATCAAGAACAAAAAAGTAATGTTTGAGAAATATAGTACCTGACAGAGGATGTTCTTGGCCCATGGTCTCTGGAATCCATTACCCAACCAACATGACACTCTAGAGGGGGATTTGTACTATGCCTTGTTTTTCTCTTTCTTGGACTCTAAAGAAAATAAAGTCAAGCATTGCAATTAGTTTCAGTAGTGTGAACTTTACAAGTAAATTAAAACCCTCTGACTATAAATGAACTCAAACATTTTTATACTGTAGATGAGACATTGTGAAATCATATGAAGTCACAAAACTCAAACATCTCACACACAAGTTACAAAACTTAATAAATAAGGAGGTTTGTGAAACAAGGATGAAAAGAAGTTCAGCTTAGTATGATTCTTCATTATACTTTCTGTTCATCTTTAATTACACTATCCAATTGTAAAAATGGTTTCTGGTTTTTTGTTGTTGTTGTTTGTTTGTTTGAGAAATGGGGTCTTACTCTGTTGCCAAGGCTGGAGTGCAGTGGCATGATTATGGCTCACTGCACTACCAGCTCAAGTGATCCTCTCACTTCAGCCTCCCAAGTAGCTGGGACTACAGGCACATGCCACCATGCCCAGCTAGTTTTTGTATTTTTTTTAGAGATGAGGTCCCACCACATTGCCCAGGCTCGTCTCCAACTCCTGAGCTCAAGTGATTCCCCCTGCCTTTGGCCTCCCAAAGTGTTGGATTACAGGTGTGAACCACTGCAACCAACCAAGAAATTATTTCTTCTTCTTCTTTCTTTTTTTTTTTGAGATGGAGTTTCGCTGTGTTGCCCAGGCTGGAGTGCGATGGCATGATCTTGGCTCACCGCAACCTCCGCCTCCTGGGTTCAAGCAATTCTCCTGACTCAGCCTCCCAAGTAGCTGGGATTACAGGCATGCGCCACCACACCCAGGTAAGGAAATTATTTCTTAACCTGAGAAAATATCACTATGGTAAAGTGCAATTTTTAATTGAAATATTACACCTTATAATACCTATTTTTTAATGTGATAGAAATTAAAACATATCATTCTGTAATGTTAAAGGATATAAAATGCAAGCCTTATGTTCCTGGTTGTTTTGTATACCTTTACATCAATGGCTGTTGGTTCCTTAACAACAGGATAAAATCTTGGTGTTTTGTTAGGATCTTGTAACCTAGGTGTTCGAGGTGTTTTGGGTGTTCTTGTAGCATGAATTCTAGGAGATTCTGGAACTGCCGTAGGCAACGAATGAACCATTGCTGCCGAAGTTATTTCTGAAACATCAAATAGCTTCTGAGCTAATCCACCAGTCAAATCTGCAAAATAAAGAGCTCTTAAAATTATTTAGATGCTAGGAAAATATTTTACTTGAGAATAAAAATATTTCTGGAATTCTCTAAGCTCAAAGGATTTTTCACTGGAAACATTTCAAATATATAAAAACAAAAACAACAAATACTTTTTTGACCATTATCTGGCTTTATAAAATTTTGATTTTGCTATATGTTTATGACCGTTATTTCTTTTTTTCTTTTTTGTTTTTATTTATTTATTTATTTTTTGAGACGGAGTTTCGCTGTTGTTGCCCAGACTGGAGTGCAATGGCGCGATCTCGGCTCACCGCAACCTCCGCCTCCTGGGTTCAAGCAATTCTCCTGCCTCAGCCTCCCGAGTAGCTGGGACTACAGGCACGCACCATCATGCCCAGCTAATTTTTGTATTTTTAGTAGAGACGAGGTTTCACCTTGTTGACCAGGATGGTCTCGATCTCTTGACCTCGTGATCCACCCGCCTCAGCCTCCCAAAGTGCTGGAATTATAGGCGTGAGCCACCGCGCCCGGCCCCATTTTTTCTTTTAAAGAAAGGATGACACTTCCTGTGTAACCTCCCCTAATCCCATTTCCCTTCTGCTTTCCCTTCTCAGAGATAACTAGCCTCTTAAATTTGGAATTTTGAACTGTTATTACATATATGTAATATTATATTGCATAATTAACTTTATATAAATGACATCATACTATATATATATCACTTTGTAAACTTTTTTCCTGTTTTATTTACATAGCTCTAATTTGTTTATTTTTCACTGCTGAATAGTATATGGTGTACAAATATACCACAATTTACCCATTCTCCTACAGATAGATATTTATGTTATTTCAAAGTTTTTCATTTAATCAACAACACCATGATCAACATTGTTGAACATGTCTCTGTACAGGTATGAGCATTTCTCTAGGGTTTATATTTGAGTGGAAATGCTGAGTCAGAAGACAGGTACATCTTCTGACTTAATGACTGCTGACCACCAAACCACTTTCTATAATCATTTCACCAATTTGCACTCTCACCAGCAGCATGTGAGAAGTCCAACAATTCAACATCCTGGTCAAGATTGAGTTTTGTTCAAACTCTTAAATATTCTTGCATCTCATGGGAGTTAAGTGATATTTGCATTTCTTTAGTAGTTGCTAGTGAAATTGAACATGTTTTCATATATCTCATTACTCTTCAGACTTCCCTTTTGTGAACCTGCTATTCAAATCATTTGACTAATTTTTTATATGGTTGTTTTACTTACTGATTTGTTCATGAAAATCTTATGGTAAGATACCAAATAAGCCAGCAGATGAATCAAGTAGTAGCAACAAAAAAATATCGGTTCTATTTCTGTGTGGTTTTTCTTCAGATTTATCAACTTCTTTTGAATTAATATAGTAACTTTTTGTTTTTCATTCAACAAATATTATTAAGTGCCTGCTATCTGCCAAGCACTATTCTAGGCCCAAGTTTGTAAAGTCAAAAACAAACTTTCTCATTTGGCATTTCCTCTCCCAATCCATTTTCCTCACTGTTACCAGAATGATTATTCTGAGGAGCAAATTAGATCATTTCATATTTCTGCTTAACATCCTTCAGTGTTTCCCATTTGCCTCTAGATTAAGCATAGGTTCTTTACCCTGGCATATGAGATTTTGCTGATTTTGCCTCATCTGTTGTCATTTTCCACTTCAGTCTTGGTGACCCAAATGGCACCAAACTGTCAGTCCTGTTTCCTTGTTCCATATCTTTCATACGCTTTTCTTCTGTCTGAAAGTCCCTTTCCTGCATCTTTTTTATACCCAATGAAACAGATATCATCTACCTCCTTTAATACCCAGCACAAGATGTTACCTTCCTTGGGAATGTGAAACATTCCTTGAACACCTCCTACCAAGAGGGTTAATTAGTTCCTTTTTGTGCTGTGTCTGCATTTTATCCATTATTGTTTCATTTATTAAATTAAAATTTATTTTCTTACATGTCATCCCATAGATGCCAAGAGTAAGTCTCATTGCTTCCCAGAAAGTAACCACCACAACTGCATCGAATACTAGTGCCTACCATACATAATGCCTGGGAAAAAAAATGTATCTTCATCGAAGGAATTCTAAACTTAATTGAATTGTGTTAATACTGTTTTCCTTATACCAAAAATATATACAATCCTAAAGATAAAAGCATGAACATATACTGAAAAATATGTTAAATCCAGTACCTTTGTAAAAGAAAGTTTCAAAGATCTAGGAGCAGTAACAACTCAGAAAGAGTAAGCTTCTTAGCACCTAGATTATGGTCTATAAATTCCATTCCCCACTAATCAGTTCTCTTCAAAAAAATAACATCTAGAGCACAAAATGTATAATCTGAGACTGGGAAATCTTGAACCAAAAAGCAATGACATATGTTTTTAAATACTAACAGAAATCAAAGGACACAGGAGCGAATCTTAGAGGTCTACCAGTCAAAAATGAAACAATTTGACCACTAAAAACAATGACTGAAATAGATCAAACCCTTCGAATAAATAAGCTCCATGAGTTCATAATGACACTTTAAAACTCAATCACATTTAGAGTTTTGAAAACCGATAAACTGAACAAAAAGAAGCAAGCATTTATCCTTCCTTGTATGTAAAAGTTGAATTTCAGGGTAACCGAAGAGTTGATGAAAGAATATTCTTCGTAGAAAAGTTCTAGGTAAGGACTGCAGAAGGAATGATGGAATTAGAGATTGCCATTTTGCAATTCTACTGAAATAGAGGAAATCTAGGAATATTCATCAATAGCTAATAAAAGCATCTGGTAAAAGGTTGGAGGGAAACTTGATAATGAATGGATCAAGCTGACAACACCTGAATCAAATCATGAATCACAGAAACAGTAAAAGTGGGACTGATAGACATAGGCAACGATGCTATATGAAATAGACAAGTCTTCCTAAGAAATATCCTTGCTACTAGTAAAAATACCAAAACCTGAGTATATCCAATCCTCTGTATCTAAATCCTTTGTATTTACACTTTATTAGAAACACATGGGATAAAGGATATACTAAATGACATGAAGAAGATACAGTCAGGTAAGTGTAGATCATACAAATCCTACCAGTTTCTTCAACAAATCATTGTCATGGAAAAACAAGGAAAGAGAAATAATTATAGATTTAAGATTGACTTAACAGTGTTATCAATCAATTGCAACTTGTGTATCTTGTTTCATTCTAGTTCAATCAAACAACTTGAAAAATATATTTCAGATAATTAGGGACAACTAAACATACACTGGGTAGTAGATGGTATTAAAATTATTGCTAATGTTGTTATGTGAAATAATGGTGCTGTAAAAGTTTACATACATACTTTTTTTGTAAGCCCTCATCAGTTTGCAATATATAGTGAAGTATTTCCAGAAGAAATGATATGATTTTGAGATTCAACACAGAATACCAGGAATAGATTGGGAGGCAAGGTACAGATTAAAAAAGAATGTTAAACTATTAACAATTGTTGAAATTAGGTGAGATTGATACACGGGGATTTCGTTAAACAATTCTCTATTGTTATCTGTACCTGAACATTTCCAAAATCAAAAGCTAAGTTTTATTTGTTTTATACTTATTTTATTCCAGGTTTGCTCAGTGTGAATTTTACCCATCAATAAAAGTAAATAATATCGATTTTGTAAGATTGACATCTATATAGAGTGTGTTGATTATCTCAAAAGAAACATCTTACAAAATTTTTATAGACTATCATATACCAATTTATAATATTTTGACATAAAATTATCAAAAATTAATTAATTGCAAGAACATAAAATATTCATAGTAAATATTAAAATATTATTGAAAATAGTAAACAAGAACATATTAATATTTTTATCAACTATAAGCATAGGATAATATATGAATATCATTTATATATTATAACTTCCTTTTAATGAAAAGCACAGGCCATCTCTTATACATGAATAGTCATAAGAGCATTTTTCATAGTAGCCAAAACTGAAAACAATCCAAATATCCATAAAATGTTGAATGGACAAAAAAATATGGCATATGCATACTTTGAAGTAATACTTGGCAATAAAAGAAAGGTACTGATACATGCAATGACATAGATGAATCTCAAAAATATTACGTTAAGTGAAAAATTCCAGGTATATAACTATGTATCATATTCCATTTATATAAAATTTCTGAAAAGTGCAAAACCATAGTGAAAGAAAGATAACTTATTGCCTCAGGCTGAAGGTGAATGTTGGGATTGACTGCAAATGTGCACAACGAACTCTTTAGCGCCATGGAATTGTACTAAAACTGGATTGTGGTGCTGGTATATAATTTTATATATTTACTGAAATTCAATGATACACTTTAAAAGGGTTAAAGCAGTGATTTTCAAGGTATGGTCCCAAACAGGACTATTGGCATTACCTGGGAACTTGTTAGAAATGTATATTCTCATATCCCACCTAACTTACTGAATCAGAAAGTTGATACAGAGTCCTTTATTCTATTTCAACAAGCTTTCCAGGAGAACATTATACATGCCAAATGTAAAAACTACTGAACTTTGGGTTGTGCTGACTATTCTACTATCTAAGATTTTCCAAATTTTATAACTGACAAATCAGATCATTGCACAGCTTCATACCTGAACCATATGACATATGAGCCTTGTCTACAGTCTCCATTGCCTTTATAAAAATAAAACTCAACATTATGCTGTTAGTGTTTAGTGAAGGTCAAAAATGAAAAATGCTACATGAGAACTGACACTTCAGTTTTTATAAATAAAAACGCCTCTAAAGCAGAACTCAGCAAGCTTTTCCTACAAATGCCAGATAGTAAATATTTTGGCTTTTGGAGACATAAGGTCTCTGTTGAAACAGCTCAGCTCTGCCTTTGCAGCATAAAAAAAGCGAGAGGCCATATGTAAACAACCAGCATTATCACATTGGTCCATGGCAGGCTAGTTTCAGCCAATGGGCCA